TGAGGTCTCGCTGCCCAGGCGGGTCTCGAACCCGCAGGCTTAGGCAATTCACTCACCTCCGCATCCCAAGGTGCGGGATTACAGGCTGAGCCACTGAGCCCGGCTTGGTTTCCTTCTTATAAAATGGGGGTAACAGTAGTTCCTGACCCCCTCATAGTCACTGTGCAGCTTGAAGGGGATGAGTCTGTGAATCCCAGCACAAAAAGTATTCAAGGAATGGGCTGATAGGAAGAGGCTCAACGGTTTCCACTCAGGGACCAGACCCAGGTGTGAGGCTGGGGATTAATTCCTTCCCAAGGCCTGCAGGGATGTGCTAGTCCAGCCAGTGGCCTTTATTCCAGATACCCTTGCAGGAGACATGGAGCAGGGAAATCGGGGGGTATCCCAACCTGCTCTTTCTGGCTCCAAACAGCAAGGGAGGTGGGTGAGGGAAGAGCCCAGGTCATGGCTGGGGGTGGCTGTTAGGCTCGGGGGTCCTGTTGGCCTCCATGCAGAGCCAGTCCTGTGCACAGCTAGGAGTTGGTTTGTGCATTCTCAACTGGGATACTATCATTCCCAAGGTTGAAAAATTTTTATTATGATGCTTGTGGCACTCTAGAAACCCACCCTACCTGACACATCTTATTCCTAAGTATTGTTTCTCTCATTAGAAAGAAATTAAATTAAATTTTAATTTAATAAAGTGTATTCTTTATTTATTTAGAGATAAGATCTCACTATGTTGCCCAGGCTGGTCATGAGTTCTTGGAGTCAAGCAACCTTCTCCCCTTGGACTCCCAAAGTGCTGGGACTACAGGCATACACCACTGCACCCAGTCTAAAAAAGTTAATTTAAATCAAAGTAATGTTTTTACTTCTGGGAGGACATGGACAAAATGCAAAAACAGGTTGAAGAAACATCGGCATAGTTTGTCTTCCAGACTCTCTCTATGAGCTTCCCAGGTCCCCTCCTTACTGCCTCATGCCCTTCTTTCTCCTTGGACTCTTGGAAGCGTGTGGCACTGCTGACCATCCAGTGCAGTTCAGAGGCCACTCTGTCCCAGGCACTGGGGCTATGGGCAGCAGCAACCCACTCCTTACCTTGTCCCTCTCTGGGCTCCTGTGACTTCACTATGTAGGTTCCCCTCTAGTCTTCCAGTTCTTCCATCTTTCCTATTGTCCCTGTGCAGGTCCCCTCCAGTCTGTTGGCTCTCCCATCTCTTGTACTATCACTATGTATGGTGCTCTCTCCGCACCCCATGGTTCCCTCTATGGTTCCAACTCTGCAACTTTGTGTGAATCTCAGCACAAAAAGGGTTCAAGGATCGGGCTGATAGGAAGAGGCTTAATGGCTTCCACTCAGGGACCAGACCCAGCTGTGGGGCTGGGAATTAATTCCTTCCTGAGGCCTGTAGGGATGTGCTAGTCCAGCCAGTGACTTTTCTTCCAGATACCCTTGCAGGAGACATGGAGCAGGGAAACTGAGGGATATCCCAACCTGCTCTTTCTGGCTCCAAACAGCAAGGGAGGTGGGTGAGGGAAGAGCCCAGGCTGGACAAGATTCTGTTTGTCCAGCCCCAAACTCTGCCAAGTCCCCTTTCTTCAGTGGCCCCTTAGCCTTCTGCATCTGGATTTTCCCTGCTACTCAAGGTGGCTGGCACATATTCTGCTTCCTCCAGGAAGCCCTCCCTATCTATCCCAGCCTGGTTGGTACTTCCCCTTCTATGGCATTCAGCTTGAATCATTTGACATTAAAGAATACAGTTGGCCCTGAATAACATGGGTTTGAACTGCACAGTACACTTATATACAGATTTTTTTTTCAATTAAACAGGGATAGAAAATACAGTATTCACAGGATGCAAAACCTGTATACATGGCTGACTTTTCCTATAAGTCATTCAGCAGGTCCAGTTGGGGGACTTGAGTATGTGCTGATTTTGCTATCCTCAGAGGAACCTGGAGCCTGTCTCCTACAGATACAGAGAAATGACTGTATATGCCCTTGTATTATTATCTTTGGATCTCACGGGTGACTCCTTATCTAGCCCGCTACTTGGCTTTTAATTTTTTTGAGGATAAGGACAATGTCATGAGGTTCTATTTGATGCTTAGTGTCAAACATCTTTATGGATCCCAAAGAAGGCAGGTGGGAGGGTCTTTGTGGACCAGAAAGCTCTGTGGCAGAACTCAAGGTACAAGGTGCCGCTTCCTACCAAGAGAGTCAGCCCAGCAGGGCCCCACGGGACTGCAGCAGAAACCCCCTCCATCTCTTCCTAGGTCTCTACCTCACCTGGCCGACTCCTTCCACTCCATCTGGTCTCCGTCATGCTGCAAGGTGTCCATCTCTGTGAAGAGGGTGGGGTTGGGAGCCTCATCTTCCTCCCCCAGGATGTCCTGGAGCTGCTCAGCAGCTGGGGACCCTGCAAAAGGAGGACAGCAGAGTCTGCTGAATGTCCCATGGAAGGCAGGAGGGCCCCAAAGCCAACAGAAATGGGAGAGGAGCCAAGCATGAGGGAACAGTATTTCAAAAATCAGTAACACTAAGTCAAGTTCCTGGGTGAAGGTGGACTCACATTACTGTGGATCAGTTGTGGGCATGATACTATTTAAGGTAAAAGAGATGAAGGATTTAGTCTGCATTCAGGTCCAGAGTCTTGAGCTGACAGTGAAGAGGAATGGGAAATGGCCAACATCAGGGCAGCAGCAAGAACCAGGAACAGAATAGAATAGAAAAGTGAAGGGACAGACACTCTGACCCATTCAGCATAACCAATCTGGAGAGATCCTTTTCCCTACTGGGCCCCAAACCAGAAATTCCCAACTCTGGCCTTGAAGAGGCAGTCAGCCATGTGAAAGAATATATGAGCACCCTTGTGTCATGCGGGCCCACCTTCTTCCTGGGCAAGGTGATAGTCTGTCTCCTGAGCTCCCTGCTGGCTTTCTAACTGCTCACTAGAAGTCATCTCCTAGGTGTCTCCCAGGCACCTCAAAACTCAGCATTCCAACACTGAATGTGTACCCTCCCCCACACATGCTTGTCCTGTTTTCTTCCTTCTTTTCTTTTTCTTCCTTTCTTCCTCCCTCCCTTCCCTTCTTCCTTTCTTTTCTCTCTCCTTCTCTCCTCCATTCCTCCCTCCTGTCTTCCTTCCTTCCCTCTCTAAATCTTTAATGAATGCCTACTATGTACCAAGTATTATTCTAAATGTTGGAAAATAAAGCTGTATAGACCTATGTGTCCTTATCGCTTGAGCCTATGGTCCAGTGATAGAGACATGAAATAAACAAGTAAACAAATCCATAAATGACCATTTCAGATAATAATAAGTTCTTTAAAATTAACAAAATGACAAGAGGAGCTACAGTAGATAGCTTGGTCACAAGGTCTCTGAGGAGGGGACGTTGGAACTGTGACAAGAGAGATGAGAATGATTGACTTCTACATATCTGAAAGAAGAGGCTTCAATTGTTCCAGATACCCTGTGGTGGGAATGTGCTGGTCACTGTGGCTAGAGCATGGTGAGTAAAGGGCAGAGAGGGATGACATGACGTCAAAGTGGTAACCAGTGCCAAGGTTAAAGGCATCCCTGTCTCCCCATTGCACAAGCTAGATACTCTGGAGTCATCCTCACCTCATCTCCCTTTCTCTCATCTCCACCCCCATATTGACAGTTTTCAAGAATACATTCCTTCCTCACCAACCCCATTGTCCCGGTCCAGTCTGTCATCTGCTGTATCCTGGGCCTCATCAAGTCTTCCTCTTCCTCTAGCATCTCTATTTCCTCAGTTTATCATTCAATCCTTTTTTTGTCCTCGCCTACTTCTTCATGCACCTGTAGTTCCAGTGGTCAGTAGTTTAAACTACTCTTTTTTTGAGTCAGAATCTCTGTCACCCAGGTTGGAGTGCAGCAACACGCTCACAGCTACTACAGCCTTGGTCTGCTGGGCTCTGGTGATACTTCTGTCTCAGCCTTCTAAGTAGTGCCACCACTCCCAGCTAATTTTTAAATATATTATTGAGATAAAGTCTTGCCAAGTTGCCCAGACTGGTCTCAAACCCTTGGGCTCAGGCAATCCTCTTGCTTCTGCTTCCTAAAGTGCTGGGATTACAGGCGTGAACCACTGTGCCCGGCCTCAACTACTCTTTCTTTCATCACACCCTCCATTCTCTTTCCCCTTGACTTAATAAAACCGGCTAGTCAATGCCCAAACAAGAATTCACTAGCCCAGTCTCTGCAGGTGTGTCTGAGGGCTCCATGGGAGGCAGTGTGGGATGGTGGTAAGGTGGAATGAGAGTGTACAACGTACTTACAATCCAACTAGACCTGGGTGTGACTCGCAGGGTTGCCACTTATCCATGAGTGAAGGGAGGAGGAATAAATCAGATCAAGAGGATGAAACACCTGACACAGGACTTGAACTGTAACCGGTGCTCAAGTTCACCCACCACCAACCCCCACACACAGCTCATAAGTCCTGCTGTAAGGGTTTCTCCCCTCTGCAGGTCTCAAGTGCAGCAATCTTCCTCTTATCCTTCTCAGCACCTTTTTCCATGTCCCTTGATGCTGTTCCCAACCTTTGCTCCTCTCAAATGTCTTCTGCCCCACTTCACTGAGAAAATAAAAGCCTCCAGGTATGAAATCCATCAATTTCCTCTCTTCCAATTCTACCCCTATTGCCACCCATCCTTGAGCAAAAGGAGTCCTTCCTCCCACCTAATTCCTGGTCCCACTCATCCCCCTCTGCCTCTTTCAGATTTTTTTTTTTTGAGTTGGGGGGGGAGACTCACTTTGCCACCCAGCCTGGAGTGCAGTGGCATAATCATGGCTCACTGCAGCCTCGACCTCCCGGGCTCAGGTGATCCTTCCACCTCAGCCTCTTGAGCAGTTGGGACTACCGCATACACCACCATGCCTGGCTAATTTTTTCGATTTTTTTTTTTTTTTGTAGAGTCAAGGTCTTGCTATGTTGCCCAGGCTGGTCTTGAACTCTTAGGCTCAAGCAATCCTCCTGCATCAGCCTCCCAAAGTGCTGGGAATACAGCCATGAGGCACAGCATCCAGTCTCTTTCAGATTCTTATTTCATCTACTAACCTTTCCTCACCTCGATCTTCAATCTCCCTTTTGCCACCCTCATACTCTCACCCTACAAACAGCTCTTGCTACCCACAAAACACCCTCCCCTGACCCTCCCTGTCTCCTGGGCTCTCCTGCTCACCACCTCTCTTCCTTTACTCCCAACTTCCTAAAGGAATTGTCTACATTCACTGTCACCACTATTTGCCCAATCTCCTCCTAACTGGCAGCAACTGGTTCCACTTCCACCACGCTAAGGACATTGACTAAGGGAGAGATTTCAAACTGGCAGCTCAAAGATGTGTTCCATTCAGCCCTCACAGAGTATAAAAGCTTTTGAAATTATTGCTAAGATAAAGAATTGTAAATTTTCCTATAAAAATCCAGATTTCTGACTTTTATTGAAGATTCTGATGCTCTGATCACTGTGCCATATTCCTGTTTGGCAACAATCAACTAGAGCTGATGATGATGATGCCTTCATAGGTGGAAAAATGCCTTTGTCATGGCCCCCACTACTCCCTGCTACTACCCTAATCTCATTTATCGCTATGCACCCAAGTTTACAACCCCTCCCCTCAGATCCCTCTTGTTATCTTTTTGCCAAACTAAAGAATTAATAGAATCAATCAAACCAACAGTATTGTGAAACTATGATCTGGCTTATTTCTCTGGGACATCAGTGGTGCTGGCCACCCCCTCTGAACTGAAATGTTACTCTTGGTTCTAACAACATGGCACTTTCTTGATATTTTTCCTCTCTCTTTGCAGATTCCTGCTCAATGTACTTCCCCAGTTCCTCTTGCCTAGTTATCATCGAAGTCTTGATCTTCCCCAAATGCCTTCTTAGTTTTCTCCTTTCCTTTCTTTCCACATTCCTCCTGGGCTAGCTTGTATTCTTTGTGGTATCCCCCTATAAACAAGTCACCTTTGTGTCCAGGCAATACACCATGCGTACTGAGCATTCCAACTATTGACAGCTGGACTGCTCCACCTGGGAGCTCTGCAGCCTTCTCAAGCCAACAGCAGCATATTCAAAACAGATCTGATTCCTTTTCCAATGACCCAACCCTTCCCTCCTTTGTTTTGATTAAGAGCACCCCCAGCTACCCAGCCATCCAGACAAGAAATGTTGGACTCTCTTCTGAAGCTCCTGCTCTCTCACCATCCATGTCCATCTGGACACTAACTGCTTTCATTTGTTTCCTAAACATTTTTTTAGCTTTCTCCCTTTAATCCCTACCCATTGCTGCCATCTTGGTTCAGGATGTCATTATCTCTGCTTCTATCACTGCCTTTGGTGGCCCCATGCATCCTCATTCTCAATGTAGCGGCAGAGTTTGCTTTGATAACATTTCAAACACATTCACGTGGTGGACTCCTGGGAGTCACAGTACTCTGTGAACAACATAAAATATGTGCATGAGTTAGACAATTTCACTAGCAGAAAATGATTAATTTACCTATATATAGCTTAATACGTCTCATTTGTTTAAACGGGTTTTAAATTTCTGAATTTTTCTATTACTTTTAACTTATATCCTTTTCATGGGCTTATTTATTGATTGCTGGCACTTGCTAGCAGATACCAAATGTTCAAGGAAATTTTTTTAGAAGAAAAACCAATAGTTGAGAAAATAACCTTGGGGTTTTTCAAATGGCGAAGATATGACTGCTTGATTCTGAGGGGCCACACCAATTCTCCATGGGATCATAGTTCAAGAACTACGATTTCATTTTATTTGTATTTATTTATTTATTTTAGTTAGGGTCTCACTCTGTCACCTGGGCTGGAGTGCAGTGACACGATCATGGCTCACTGCAGCCTTAACCTACCAGGCTCAAGTGGTCATCCTTCCACTTCAGCCTCCCAACTAGCTGGGAATACAGACGTGCATCACCACTCCCAGCTGTGTGATGTTTTTTGTAAACATGAGGTCTTGCTATGTTGCCCAGGCTTGTCTCCAACTCCTGGGTTCAAGAAATCTTCCTACCTCGGCCTCCCAAAGTGCTGGGATTAGGCATGAGCCACTATACCTGGCCAAGAACCACTCTTAGTATCAATTTGATCATGTTACCTTCCAGGTGAAGAACTTTCAATGGCTTTCTATTCCCTAAAGTCTAGGGTCAGTGACATAACTCAAAACATCCCTTTGATCTGGCCCTATCCTGCCTTTCTAGGTTCTGGCATGTCCCTCACCCAGCCATATCAGACCACACACAGTTCTCTGAAGAGAAGGGCATGCCACTCCTGGGGACCCTGTGCCTATTGTTCCTTAAATCTGAAATCCCCTTCCCCTTTCGAGATCGATGAGAAGGCAGAAAAACAACCCCAGTCATAAAGAGA